TTATGGCCACTTTTATTTTCTGCCAATGGACCTGACAAGACTTTTGTTTTGAGGACACCTCAAAAAGCATACATTAGTGCTCTGGGTAGAGGTGAGAAATTATGGTTAAAAAACAGGAGATGGTCAAGAAATATTATTTAATAATGTTACGTGCACTATTATTTACATTTTCTGGACAAGCTTTAGGGCTGTTCCCTTCTTCTTGGTCTGACAAGTTGCAGGTTTTCTAAACTAGGAAAAGCTCTTAAAATAAAATGTAATGATTTTATCTACAATCTTTATTCCAGACATAAAACGAAAGAGTTGCTTTTTTAGCTTATAAACTTAGTTTTGACAATGTGGTAAGTGTTGCTAAAGTTCAATGTTAATTGCATGTATTTCTTTTGTAGCTGGGATGACAGCAGTTCCGCCAGCAGTGGCCTTAGTGACACACTTGACAACCTCAGCACAGATGACCTAAATACTTCCTCTCTTGGTTCCTATTCCAATAATGGCTCTCCTAGGAAAAGCAATCAAGCAAACGTAAGTGTAAGAACACAAAAATTGTAAAAGCAACAATAAATACCCTTTCTGTTTGTTTTACATGCAGGTAGAGACCTTGTAGACTGAAGACTGCACCACAATTATAAAAAAAAGTTCTATATAATTATATAAATGAACCAAAGCTAAAAAAATATATAAAAATTTACTTATAATAATGGCTAAGCAAAACATTACCTTTAAGTACACTGCTCTAAAAAATTGAAGGAACACTTTTATATATATATATATATATATATATATATATATATATATATATATATATATATATAGCATCAAGGCATCAAGGCAATTAAACTCCTGGGATATTGGTCTGGTAAGTTAAGTAGCAGAGGGGGTTGTTAATCAGTTTCAGCTGCTTTGGTGTTAATGAAATTAACAGCAGGTGCACTAGATGGGTAACAATGAGATGACCCCCAAAACAGGAATGGTTTTGCAGGTGGAGGGTATTGACATATTTTTCCCTACTCCTCTTTTCTGACTGTTTTTCACTAGTTTTGCAATTGGCTAGGGTCAGTGTCACTACTGGTAGCATGAGGCGATACCTGGACCCTACAGAGGTCACACAGGCAGTCCAACTACTCCAGGATGGCACATCAATACGTGCAATTGCTAGAAGGTTTTCTGTGTCTCCCAGCACAGTCTCAAAAGCATGGAGGAGATCCTAGGAAACAGGCAGTTACTTTAGGATAGCTGGACAGGGTCGTAGAAGGTCCTTAACCCATCAGCAGGACCGGTATCTGCTCCTTTGTGCAAGGAGGAACAGGATGAGCACTGCCAGAGCCCTACAAAATGACCTCCAGCAGGCCACTGGTGTGAATGTCTCTGACCAAACAATCAGAAACAGACTTCATGAGTGTGGCCTAAGGGCTCAACGTCCTCTAGTGGGCCCTGTGCTCACTGCCCAGCACCATAGAGCTCAATTGGCATTTGCCATTGAACAGCGGAATTGCAGGTTCACCACTGGTGCCCTGTGCTTTTCACAGATGAGAGCAGGTTCACCCTGAGCACATGTGACAGACGTGAAAGGGTCTGGAGAGCCATGGAGAATGTTATGCTACCTGTAACATCGTTCATTTTTGGTGGTGAGTCAGTGATGGTCTGGGGTGGCATATCCATGGAGGGACTCACAGACCTCTACAGGCTAGACAATGACACCCTGACTGCCATTAAGTATCAGGATGAAATCCTTGGACTCATTATCAGACCCTACGCTGGTGCAGTGGGTCCTGGGTTCCTCTTGGTGCACTATAATGCCCCGCCTCATGTGACAAGCTTATGCAGGCAGTTCCTGGAGGATGAAGGAATTGATACCATTGAATGGCCCCCATGCTCGCCTGAACTAAATCCGATAGGACAACTCTGGGATATCATGTTTCGGTCCATCTGACGCCGCTAGGTTGCACAGTGATGCCCTGGTCCAGATCTGGGAGGAAATACCCCAGGACACCACCCGTTGTCTGATTAGGAGCATGCCTTTACACTCTCAGGCATGCATACAAGCACATGGGGGCCCCACAAACTACTGAGTACCATTTTGAGTTGCTACAATGAAATTTCAGCAAAATGGACTAGCCTAAGGCATCATTCTTCCACTCTGATTTTTGGGGTGCCTTTGAATTCAGTCCTCTGCAGGTTGATAATTTTCATTTTCCCTCAAACATTGGGGCATCCTTACATTTCTAACACATTACCCAGTCCATATCAGTATAGATATCCAGCATGATATTTTTCCCCATTGAGATCTGATGTGTTTTCAAAGTGTTCCTTTAATTTCTTTTGAGCAGTGTATATTGTGCAAACTAACCTCAAATGGTAAGAGCATTAGTGACACAGCAACTGGCTAAATATTATTTTCAGGGATTCCTTGCCCATATTTATCAACATAAAGTTTAAAAATGCAAGGATTACCCTTTTGGGGGTTGATCAGCATTTAACTTTCATAAGTAAAATTAAATGCTTTTCTTCAGCTTCCTGGCTTTCTCTTGCAGCATAGCTGCTCTGTGCTCATGCTTCAGGCCCTTATCTGATTCTACAGAGAATACAAAGGCTCTTGTCACACATGCACTGTCTTTAGCTGCTCTTAGCTGTACTGTCTTACACCCTGAGTCTTGTGTGGAAACCTTCTCTGTCCCCAATTGGAGCCCTAAATATTGCCAGCACATATTCTAAAAAGGCTCAGCACATCTACACTGTCAAGATGCTGGTTGCCAGCAAACTGCAGACCTAAGGTTGGAGGCTTCACCTCAACCAATACTCTGTAAAACCTCAGGGCTCTAGGACCCAAACCAGAACATATTATTCCTGGAGAAAACTGAAAATCCAGCCTCATCACTATAAGGCAAACATCTCAGAGCCCCCCAACCTCCATGGGTAAGAATCCTGGGTGTCACCAACTCCTCTTCATACTGTATATGAATATATATGTATACTGTATATATACAGTATCTCACAGTGAGTACACCCTCACATTTTTGTAAAATATTTTATAATATATTTTCATGTGACAACACTGAAGAAAATAAACTTTGCTATAAAGTAGTGAGTGTACAGCTTGTATAACAGTGTAAATCTGATGTCCCCTCAAAATAACTCAACACACAGCCATTAATGTCTAAACCACTGGAAACAAAAGTGAGTACACCCCTAAGTAAAAATGTCCAAATTGGGCCCAATTAGCCATTTTCCCTCCCCGGTGTCATGTGACTCATTATTGTTATAAGGTCTCAGGTGTGAATGGGGAGCAGGTTTGTTAAATTGTGTTAAAGTGTTATTGCTCTCACTATCTCATAATGGTCACTGGAAGTTCAACATGGCACCTCATAGCAAAGAACTCTCTGAGGATCAGAAAAATAGAATTGTTGCTCTACATGGCCTAGGCTATAAGAAGATTGCCAAGATGCTGAAACTGAGCTGCAGCATGGTGGCCAAGACCATACAGCAGTTTAACAGGACAGGTTCCACTCAGAACAGGCCTCGCGATGGTCGACCAAAGCAGTTGAGTGCACGTGCTCAGCGTCATATCTAGAGGTTGTCTTTGGAAAATAGATGTATGAGTGCTGCCAGCATTGCTGGAGAGGTTGAAGGGGTGGGGGGGTCAGCCTGTCAGTGCTCAGACCATACGTCGCACACTGCATCAAATTGGTCTGCCTGGCTGTTGTCCCAGAAGGAAGGCTGTTCTAAAGATGAAGCACAAGAAAACTTGCAAACAGTTTGCTGAAGACAAGCAGACTAAGGACATGGATTACTGGAACCATGTCCTGTGGTCTGATGAGACCAAGATAAACTTATTTGGTTCAGGTGGTGTCAAGCGTGTGTGGCGGCAACCAGGTGAGGAGTACAAAGACAAGTGTGTCTTGCCTACAGTCAAGCATGGTGGTGGGAGTGTCATGGTCTGGGGCTGCCAGCACTGGGGAGCTACAGTTCATTGAGGGAACCATGAATGCCAACATGTACTGTGACATACTGAAGTAGAGCATGATCCCCTCCCTTCGGAGACTGGGCCGCAGGGCAGTATTCCAACATAATTACCCCAAACACACATCCAAGACGACCACTGCCTTGCTAATGAAGCTGAGGGTAAAAATTATGGACTGGCCAACTAAGCAGGGCTTTTACATTACCCGATGCAGATAGAGAGATGTGCTTTCATTTTAAAGCTGGCCATACATATATAGCTTTATTTTGTTCAGCCTGATAAGCTGCATGGATTGCCAAATTTCCCACTGTGGGCTACTGTATTCTGACAGCCGGTGCAGCTGGCCAGTTCTTGGATGCAGTAACTGTTTGGCTGATAATTTTTACACTCAGCTCCTTTGGCAAAAGTCAACTGAAAAATCAACCTTTGTTGATCTGGGTGTTGCTGACAGTGCCACCTTTAGAACAAATTTCATGCTGAATCTGCCATAATTCAATGCATGTATGGTCAACTTGAAGTTTAGTGATTTTTTTAAAACAGCACCAGGGATGCTACTTACCAGCAATGAATTGTGTCCCATGTAATGGCAGTTGCTGTTTACAGTAGAAATCCTCAGTCCTCTGTCCCTGGATACCCCTTCAGTGGTGATCCTCCTATAATACTGGTGTTATGAATGGATCACAGGGGCAGAAAGTGCTGGCATAGTCTGCAGTTTTCAGGAGTGCCTGTCAGAAACACATCTGCTGATATAAACGTTCATGGATCAACACTGTGGTGGTATCCCCAGTTATAATTTATTTAAATGTATAAAAGTGGGTTTTTATTAAAATGTTATACCTAGTTCATGAAAGGGAATTACAAACATTTAAATAATGATGCCTTAATAAGATTTTGGCAATTTTCTTGTACAATTTACTGTACCATCAATGGCATTCAATCTTGGTAATGCTAGTTTCTGGAAAATAGAATATAACAAACTACCATGTTTTACATACATGTACGTTACAGGCAAAAGTAACTATAACATTTTCTATTTTTGTAGCTAAAAACAGATGCTGAAAAACGTTCCTTGACAGGACTGGAATCCTGGTCTAATGAAGAGTTAAAAAAACAAGATGATGAGTATGACCTTAGCACAGAATCTGGCAAATGGAAAGGGCTGTCATCTGGAGTATCTGAGGATTCTGATAAAGGAGGGCAAAAATCTCTTTCTATCTCCCAGACTGGATCATGGAGACGTGGTATGTCTGCCCAAATTGGCACAACGTCATCAAGACACAAATCAGGAAGCAGCTCCCTAAAAACACCAGGTATGAAGCAGATTAATATTGTAATTTAGAACTGCATTTTGTCAATGTAACTTCACTGTATGAAATTAAAATATACAGTAGAGGTAAAACAGATTTCCTGCCAAAAATAGGAAGATAAAAATGAATAGCTAAGATAAAACTATAAAACTAACATTTGTTGAAATATTCACCTTCAATCCAGAATCCATCCTCCCCCCCCCCCCCCAACACCCCAACATTTTGTTACTAGCAGATGTTCTCGGTCTGGTGGCCACATCCTTCAACTCACTTTCTCTGCCCAGGTGCTGAATCTGTCCTCAGCTTGTGCCTGGACAGTGAGAGGAGAGGTAGCATAGTGATGAACTAATCTCGGTCACTCTGTTTTTGCCTACTGTCAACATGTTTCTTGCTAACACATGTACTGATTGGCTCCTTGCACTACCTCTTCCTCTCGCACTCCAGCCTAGCTGTATAGGAATTACAAACTGCAAATTCCAATTCAGGTATTAAACTGCTTGCATTTAAAAATACTTGTAATAAAGTATTAAAGGAGAAGAATCCATACTTACCTCTTTGCTGCAGCTATCCCACATTGGTTCTAAGAACTAGGAACTAAGGAATCACATGACTGCTGATTGCTCAGTTCTTGGTCAGCTTGGAGTAGAGTTGGGCGCTGGGCTGGGGAAGGGGTGGGCACAGTTGGCTCCAGATTTCAGCCCCACAGTGACAGGAGGAGCCAGCTGTCACTTATGCAGCTGAGACTTCTTGGAAGATCTCCCGGGACAAGGATAAAGGATTGATCCCAACGCTGTCCTTAGAAACCTTGCTACGTGTGGCAGTCTTTCCCTTTGTAAATCCAATAGAGTGCTGCTGTACTCACTCTGTCCTCTTTGCTCCCAGCTTCTCCAGGTCTCTATCCCATTCACGCCTCACTCCTCTGAATGTATCTTCCGAGCCAGCTGGAGGCCGGCCCCCCTAGACCTAGGGGACCCCTCCCAGGCACCAACAGTCTCCTCAGCACTCCATCTTCTACCTGGCTCCTCTGTCAGCTCTTTTTTGGGCCAGTACACCACTCTACCAGGGCCTCCAAACCTGGGATTGGCAGGACTCCCATGACCATGCAGATTAGGTCTCCACCCCTTTCTGTTTACCGACTTCTGGAAGGTTCTATGGTCCTCCACAGTTAGGAGGAGATAACAGAGCCACAACCTATTGAGTCATCCAGCTGACCTGCAATAACCCGACCTCAATCACAGACTCACACAACTACCATGAGTCATACACAATGATTTTACTTACAATGCACTACACTATTCTAGTAGCACACTAGAGGATGCTACAGAGATATGGCCAAAAAATCTTTGGTCCTATTTTTCTTATTATTTTAATTACAAAGCTGTATTATTGTGCATTTTTCATATCTGCTTAGAATTGAGCTTTAAAGCAATATTGCCACTTCATGAATGTGCAAAATGACATATTGTGTAATATATAGCAGTACTATTCTAAAGTGTATGTGTGGAATTTCAGGACGCAGATTTTAAACATTCATTGAATTACTGTTTCTTGCTGTATTTCTCCCAGTGTCTATTAATAAAATGATTTCACTTTTCCACTTTTATCTGTCAACAGGTAAAACAGATGATGTTAAAGCATCAGAGAAAGTCAAAACACCACTTAAAGGTGGATCACTCCAGCGTTCACCCTCTGATGCAGGAAAAAGCAGTGGTGATGAAGGAAAAAAGCCACCTTCAGGAATTGCAAGACCTGCAGCCACCAGCTCATTTGGCTTTAAGAAAGCTGGGGTGGGCTCACCAAACATAACTGCAGGAGGTGCAACTCTAACTAGTGGATCTGCAACACTTGGGAAGATGCCTAAATCAGCAGCAATTGTAGGAAAAGGTGCTGGCAGGAAAACTAGTCTTGATGGTTCCCAAAATCAGGATGATGGAGTTTTACTGGCCAACTCAAAAGCTACACTTCAATATCGTAGTTTACCTCGCCCTTCTAAATCCAGTACAAGTGGTATCCCAGGCAGAGGTGGACATAGATCCAGCACTAGTAGTATCGACTCCAATGTAAGCAGCAAATCAGCAGGTGCAGCAGGCACTAAACTTAGAGAACCCTCAAAAATGGCTTCAGAGCGTTCAAGTCCTGTCACCATCAACCAAACTGACAAAGAGAAGGAGAAAGTGTCAGATTCTGAAAGTGTCTCGTTGTCAGGCTCTGCTAAATCAAGTCCGACATCAGCCAGTGCCTGTGGTGCTCAAAGCTTGAGGCAACCGGGATCAAAATATCCTGACATCGCTTCACCAACATTCCGGAGGTAAGAATCATCTTGCTAGCCTTGACTTTATATATTATTTTTAATAAAAAGCCTATTTAACAAATAACATACTTTAATTTCTTTGGAATGCACATATCATGCAGCACTTCACATACTGTGACAGAGTGGGTAAGTATGTGTTGGGGCTGCATTAAAAAACAAAGGAAGCCCCCCCCCCAAAAAAAAAAAAGCTCAGCATATACACAGGGTTTAAACAAATTGTGGTATCAAATCACCAGTGCATGTACTACTGGTTTTGCTGTCCATCTACTTATGATTTTGCTACAACATTGTTTTTTATTTGTCTGTGAAAAGAGTCATGTATTTAGCACTGATTCTTCTGTATGTTTCATAAAGCTTTGCGTTTCATGTAGTCAGATTTTTTACCCTGTAGCAGACATTTGTTAATAGACATTAGAGTAGTACTGCCAGGACAGCCTTATTGCATTTGTGACACAAGAGTTCATCATTTGTCAACTACATGACAAGAGCACTTACATTCTGTTGACCCTAAGTATTACTAGTTGTTTGTTGTCCACAAGTCAATATGCATGGCTAAGTACATATGCAAATACGCATGGAATGCTGAGTCGTGATGTTAGTATAATTTATATGTAGGGGATGGATATTGAATGATTTACACCTTAGTAGGTGCCATCCTTCTTAAATATATACAAATCAGGAAAAATGTAAATTGAGATTTAAATGTACCTCAGAAGGTGTGATACAGAGCAAATATATCAGTATATAACTGTTATTTTTTATTTTACATATATCACAAAACTCCATAAAAAGTTTAAAAACGTGAACATCTTAGCCAAACAGTATACACATATTCATGAGATCATATTCATAGGTGGTTGACGTGTTTCGTGGGAAACCTGCTTCATCAAGACTTTGAACCTCACTATACAGTTGCTGAAATAAGATACATACATAAATTATAATCTGAAAACATAACAGTTTCATCTTTTATAAAGAATCTCACCTAAATTTTACATGACATAGAAATTAAAATTTTTATGGCAACACCAATCTCTAGTTGAAAAATACCCACTCTGGATCATGAAAAAGAGTAAAGGAAAAAGAGAGGAAATAAATAAATATCAATGTATAATTGATGAATTATTCAAGATAGTAATTATATTTGTCAACTTATGTTCACATATACAGCAATGTGTGCCTGGTGATCCCGCCTACCGGGCTCGTGGGGAGAGGTCCAATCTGCACATACCTCACAGCTTAGAGCAAATTCTGAAAAACCTTATACAACAGAGTTAAATACTTATGTACCCTATAAGATATATATTGAAATAACCCAAAGAGTTACCTTAAGGTGTGTCGAAATATATTAAAATTCTTACCTAAAATACCCAAATAGGTCCTAACTCCACACAGCTTTGGAGAACCCTGGATAAATAAACATCTTTATATGTCCTTTTCCATCTTTATAAAGTTCCATTACCTTGTTACGCAGGACTTTTGACAGTTCTTTTCTGATCCCCATGGCTCAGTATCTAGCCTAGTCAGTGCTTCCACGTAAGAGCTAACAAACTCATTGGCTATTTATACACTGACACTAATTGCAATTGAAAAAGCCACAGATGTGGGACATTAACCTCTAATTGGCATTTTAACCCGTGTGTGTCACCTTGTGTGTCTGCACCAAGGCCAAACATTCCAGGGTATGTAAACTTTTGATCATGGCCATTTGTGTGATTTCTGTTATTCTGATTTAAAAAGGAATCAAACAACTATTTGATAATAAATGGCTTCATATGATCATCATCATTCAATAAAATAGCATTTTTTTTTTTGGCATGATCAGTCATATTTTCGATATCAATGCCAAAATTTCACAATTTCTGCCAGGGTATGCAAACCTTTGAGCACAACTGTATATGGCCTATACAGGCAACAGATGGCTGATCTTTATTTTTTACAACTTTCATGCATGTAGCTAACACCCCAAGTTATTTACCCAGGGTTCCCCAAAGCTGTGTGGAGGTAGCAACTATATGGGTATTAAAGGTAAGAATTTTAATATATCTTGACACCTTTAAGGTAACGTTTTCAATATATATCTTATAGGGTACATTAGTATTTAACTCTCTTGTATAGAGTTTTTCAGAGTTTGCTCTAAGCTGTGAGGTGTCTTCAGATTAGACCTGTCCCCATGGGCCTGGCCACGAGATCACTATGCACACAGTGCTGTATTTGTGAACATAAGGTGACAAAAATAATCACTATCTTGAATAATTCATCACTTATACATTGATATAATTTATTATTTTATTTTTTTTATTTTTATTTGCTCTCTTTTTCCTTTACTCTTTCTCATGATCCATGTGGGTATTTTTCCACTGCAGATTGGTATTGCCATAACAATAATAATTTCTATGTCATATAAAATTATGGGAGATTCCTTATAAAAGATAAAAAAGTTTTATGTTTTCTGATTATAATTTATGTATGTATCTTGTTTCAGCAACTGCATAGTGAGATTCAAGGAACTGATGGAGCGGGTTTGCCGCGAAATATGTTGACCACCTATGAATAATATCTCATGAATATGTGTATGGCTGTGTTGGTTGGCTATGATGTTCACATGTTTTTAAACTTTTTATGGATTTTTGTGATATATGTAAAATAAAATAACAGTTTTATATTGACATATCTTGTCTGTATCATACCTTCTGAGTTACACTTTAAAATCCCAATTTAAATTTTTCTGATTTGACTGTAATTCAGGTGGATCTTTTGATTGAGAATAAGAATTTTTCTTTTTTTATCAGAGTGACTGATGACCATTTAGTGCCTTTTTATACATACTTGCATATTGTAGCATGGTGTGTTAGAAATAATATATGTGGTAACAGGATGACCTCATCTGCTGTTGTATGGTTTTCATGTATGACTGCTTCCAATAAACATTGTGCATTTTAGAAATTTTACTTTAAAAGCATACATTCAACTCTTTGACATTTGGGCATAATAGTTATATAGCGCTTAGACCCAAAGGAGCTGCTAATGTTTAGGTCCCTTGTTCCTGGATTCTCAATGACCTTTTCAGCAATGCCACACAGTCTGACACACCAAGGCAGGGAGAAAATAGTTATTGCAACAATACACAATAATTTGGGAACCAATGAATGGGCATTGGTAATAAACTTCAAGTGTGTGAAACAGTTGTAAATTAATGTACACAATTGGTAATAAACAAGCAGTCCAGTAAATGCCCCCCTAATCTCTATACTGGGGAAAAGACGAAGGTCCTGTCTAGGGGCAATGCTATGACAATGGTACAGCAGTCTTTGTCAAACACTTCCCTACTGGCCAGTATGTTGGGGCCAAAATCCAGCGTTGCCATGCTCAAAAGTCCCACTGAACCTTGGTGTAGGTGTCTGAACAGTGTCCCTAGTATGCAATACTTTTTCTTTAAGTGTGTAGCAGTAGGGTATGCCAGCAACATCTCACCTACTCCTAGGGTGATGACCTGTCTTCTGCTGCTCTCTGTCTGGGGCTCAGTTATGTCAGGTGCATTGATGTCCTCTACAAAATTAGGTGGCAACACCATGCTTGACTGTGAAGTTCCCATAAACCAGGAGATTTCTTTTACTTGGCCTCTCTGCATCCTCAACATTGCAGCAAAACAACCCAACAGCAACCTGCTACACAGTGTGTTTGCCACCACATCTTCTCTTAGACGGCATCTAGCCCATGGAACAGATTTTTCTCTCCACAATGCTGGTAATGCTGGAAAATGTAGTTCCAGAGCCAATCTGTAGGACAGGCCCAGTTTCCTTGGGTACTACATCCTCCACACGGTTTAGTTCCTCCCAGCAGGTTCTGTCCTTTCTATAATCAACGGCAGCTCCGTGTCCTCTTCCTCTCTGTGCTCCCCAGATGGGCAGGGCTTTCTTCCAGCTCTTTCTATGCCTGCATACAGTAGTGCAAATGGCCAGTGCTTTATTTCTCTCTGCCCTCTCTCCTCACTGGCAGGCAAAGAGAGGGAGAACAGCTCCAGCAGTGGTTGTGAGTAGGTGGCTGCAGCTTGTGTGACACTGTCAGTGGCAGCCTGGTCTGTGCAGATGTAGTCCAGAGTGTGCCTCAACTGGGCCTACAGTTACATTAACTAGTAGTGAGGTTTATAATTAACCATTATTGCACTCTTTCTTAAAATACAGTGCAAACAGTGATCCATACACTGGACCCAGATGAATGTCAAGGCAAGGCCTGCACTTCAGCAGATTTATGAAATTATGTCTGAACAAGAAACATTTCAAGTGTGCAGAGATGTTTAGCTAGTTTACTGCAGCTAGAGGCTATGAAACATATTGACAGAAAAAAATGCTGTAGCAACGTGCATGGGGAGGTGTTAGGGATACCTGTCATGACCCCAGGAATGAGAAGTGTTAGGTGGAAGATCTGCTGTTCTGCCAGTCTCCCTATTTGATCTTTATCAGCGCTGAACCCTCACAGGATTTGACAGCTTACCCGATTGCCACTGTCACCTGTAAACACAGAACCTACTAGTCGAGATCTTCTGTTACTTGCTTCCTTTTGCTGTGCACTGCAATAGATGTAATCTGTCAGAGTAATCAGGTGAGCTATGAAATCCTGTGCAGCTCCAAAGCTGATGGCAAAATAGAAGATCTTCCACCCAACACTTGTCATCCTTGGGGTCCTGATTGCCCTCCAAACACATATACATGAACACCTACTGATTGAGTTCTGGATAGGTAGGCCATTTTAAAGCTGAAGCTTAGCAAAAAATAGATTTAAAAAATCTTCTCTATAGCTTCAGTGACCTAAGTTACTTGTGATAAAGGATGTTCCACATTGTGCAGGCAGCTGGATCCTATAGAAACCTTCTGTGCAGAGATGACACGACTTCCTGCCACTGAACTTCTCTGGCTGTGATGGTTAACAAATATGCAAATTCAGTTATCAAGCTCCCAACCAGGACTTGCCCCCTCCTTGCACAATCAGTGAATGGG